ATTCTATTCCTGTTAAATCCGTAGAAAATGAGAAAATACTCGACATTTTGGGGGAAACTTGTAAATCTGAGCCAGGAAAAGAAGAAGGTTCCGAGCTGGAGCAGCCATTTGCACAGGATACAAGTAGCGTGGGGCCAGACAGAAAGCTTGCGGAGGAAGAGGACCTTTTTGACAGCGCCCATCCGGAGGAGGGTGACTTAGATTTGGCCAGCGAGTCAACACACGCTCAGGCGGGCGAGGCAGACAGCCTGTTAGCGGTAGTGAAAAGGGAGCCCGTGGAGCAGCCGGGCGATGGCGGCAGGACGGACTGTGAGCCTGTAGGGCCAGAGCCGGCAGTTGAGCAGAGTAGCGCGGCCTCCGAGAACGCGGAGGCCTCTAGCGAGGAGGTCGCGGAAGCGCCCACGGAAGCCCCAAGCCCCGAAGCCAGAGATAGCAAGGAAGACGGGAAGAAGTTTGCTTTTGAAGCTTGTAATGAAGTCCCTCCGGCTCCTAAAGAGTCCTCAGCCAGTGAGGGCGCTGATCAGAAAATGAGGTTTGTTTTTTCTCAGTTTTAGACCAGACGCTATCTCCTTTCCATTGGTCGTTTAATGACACACATAAGCTGTTTTTTCTGCAATTGGCCAGCCAGACTGATGAAATTGTAGTTTCGCTTCTAAAGATTGTTTTATTTCTCTTTGTGTATTTACACTGATTACATAATCTTTTTTCTTTTCTCAACCTATCATGGTTGTGTTCTTTAATTCTTCCTAATTATCTTTAGCCCAGCAGAATTAATTAACTCCTATGGGTCTGAAATCTTATGGTTAGGTCAGATTTCCAATACAAGTTTGTCGGGGTATCATTTTTTCAGAACTAAATTTCGGGTAGGTATGAACCTCAGCACATGTTTTATGATTTTGAGTTTGTTTCCTCCATGCTGCTTCCCTCTGGAGTGACATTATCTTTTGTCTCTAGTTCTGTCGAAGATGACTCGGATACAAAACGACTTTCCAAAGAGGAGAAAGGTAGGTCATGGGGAGCATGTTTGCAGGGCGTTGATTCTGGGTCATCCCTGTTGCATTTCCTACCCAGTTTTCCCCAGGCTTTCAGGAAGTCTTTCTCTGCTTTTCTGCTGTTAACTCTAGCTTCCGGATTATGGGGAGCAACCCTTGGTCCTAAGAGTTAATATGTTGATTTGATGCATACACTTGCTGTTGAGAGGGTGTTTGGGATTCATTGATCCTATAACCTTTTATTAAAGTTATTAATTGAGAAATGATTTTATTGGACCAAATGGCTTCTTGGTGTTCTAAAATACTAAAAGCACTGGGTAGGTACAAAGGTATATGCTCCAAGAAATAAAAATTACAGGAGTGTTTTCTTTTGGTTTGTTTTCTTTTATGTTTGAGTCAAGGTCTCGCTTTGTTACCCAGGCTGGAGTGCAGTGGCACAATCACGGCTCCCCGCAGCCTCAACCTCCTGGGCTCAAGTGATCCTCCTGCCTCACCCCCACCTCGGGTAGCTGGGACTGCAGGCGTATGTCACCACAGTTGGCTGATTTTTTTCATTTTTTTTGTAGAGATGAGATCTCCCTCTGTTGCCCAGACTGGTTTCCAACTCCTGGGCCAAGTGATCCCTCCTGCCTCGACCTCCCAAAGTGCTGAGATAGCCATGAGCCACTGTGCGCAGCCTAGAGTGTTTTTCTATACTGAGAATGGCTGTTTTGTTATGGAGCCACCTCTCTTCCTTTCTAAGGGAACCTAACATGGTCCTGACAACCCCTGCCTCATCTTTGTGATGGGTCTTTCAGTAGTGCTGCGAGGCCTGGCTTTTATGAAGAGAGGGCCCAGACCCCCCAGCCCCATTTGGCTTTTGGTGTTTCTGCTGGCTTAGGTTAAGCGGGGCTCATGTCTGGTTTGCAGTGAGTTTCTCTAAGACTCAGGATCTTGTAGATGTTTTGTTTTTGACCAAAACTTTCTTTTGAAATAGGTCGTAGCAGTTGTGGTAGAAATTTCTGGGTTAGCGGACTTTCTTCCACGACCAGAGCAACGGACTTGAAGAATCTTTTCAGCAAATACGGGAAGGTAAGAGTCAGGGGTTTTCTGGAGAAAAAAGTATTTTATTTTTTATTATTATTATTATTTTTGAGTTGGAGTCTCACTGTCACCCAGGCTGGAGTGCAATAGCACGCCCCTGGCCACTGCAACCTCGACCTGCTGGTCTTAGGCAATCCTCCCACCTCAGCCTTTCTACTAGCTGGAACCACAGGTATGTGCCACCACAGCCCACTATTTTTTTTTTTTTTTTTTTTTTTGAGTTGGAGTCTCACTCTGTCGCCCAGACTGGAGTGCAGTGGCCGCTTCCAGCCACCGCAGCCTTGACCTGCTGGGCTCCGGTGATCCTTCCTCCTCAGCCTTCCGAGTAGCCGGAATTACAGGCATGTGCTACTACGCCCGGCTAATTTTTTGATTTATTGTCGAAATGAGGTCTCGCTGCCCAGGCGGGTCTCGAACCCGCGGGCTCAGGCAATCCACTCACCTCAGCCTCCCAAAGGCGTGGGATTACAGGCTGAGCCACCGAGCCCGGCTCACTATTTTTTTTTATTTATTGTAGAGACGAGGTCTCGCCAAGGTAGTTGTCCAGCCTGGTCTTGAGCCCCTGTGCTCAGGCAGTTGTCTTGCCTCCGCTTCCCAAAGTGCTGCGATTGTAGACCTGAGCCACTGCGCCTGGCCAAAAAAGTATTTTTAAGCCCGTGTAGTACGACTTTCAGGTAGATGGTTGTCTCCTCTTAGTGAGTCCTTTGAAGACTCCAGGTCTGACGTTTGTGTTGACAGTGGAACCCCCTTACGGGAGATGCTTCATGACTCCATGCCGGTGTTGTCAGGACTTCCCACCCGTGAGCATGTTGGAGAGGTAGTGGTGATCAGAAAAGGGCCCAGGGGATGGCGGCCTCTTGGTGCTTAGAATAGGGGCCCTGGAGGCTAGTGAGGAATGTGAGTGTGGCTGTGGGTGGGCGAGTTCCCTACTGGCGCCTCATCTCTGCAACTCGGGGCTTTTGAGGCTGCTGCCTCAAACCGCCACCGGGGGCAGTCTGCCCTGCTCTGCAGCAGCCCCTGGAGATTGAGCAGATGGGCACGTGCACCAGGTTGTCCATCTGTGGAGACCCCTGTGTGGCTTTGCTCCCGGTCCTTTCCTTCGTTTTACTTCCGGACTTGCCTCCAACTGCACCAGGGCTTCTTGTCACTCAGAGCCAGTTTTGGGGGCATTCCGTGTCGTGTATAGTCTAGGCCCTTAGGCACAGCACGTGATTTAGAGAAGCGGCAGTGTTCCCCCTGACGACTGACCTCCAGCTAAATCTGCCATCGGTTTAGAAATGCCTAAAGGCTTTGGGAGCTTTTGTGATACAAAATGCATATCTGGGAGCACCTGCGCCTGGTCCCCTGACCAGAGTCCCTTTCCTGTTCCCACAGTGACTCTGAGCAGGCAGGTGCTCTCAACAGGGAAGCATCACCCTGGGGACAACAGTGTCTTGGGTGCATTGCAGGTTTGATGTGGGTAAAATGGGGGCCAGACCCCTCTGAAGCCTGCCCTTGGTGCTTAGGCTCTGGGTGGCATAATGAGGTGATTGCTGGCTGTGGCCACTGCTCCTGTGGGCTTGTCCTGAGCCGTCATGCCTGCTGTTGTCATCTGGCGAGCCTGACTTTGGTGTTCCAGAGTGGTGGGGACAACCTAGTTGCATGTCAAGGGTGTGTCTGGAGTGTCTGAGACATGTTTTTGGGTTTGTTAATAGAAGGCGGGTCCAGCTCCCAGAGCACTGCCCACAGACCTGTCCTGACAGTCATGTGTCTGGGCTCTGTCTCCCTGCTTTCTGGTCCACATAACCTCCCTTCATGCTTTCCTGCCCGCATAGCATGACTACCTGTTAGAGTCATTGCTTCCCGTGTTGGAAAGCACACTGGAGGAATGCAGACAGAACTCTGCATTTTGTCTCACTTCCCCTTCTTCCACACTGCCCTCCTGGTGCCCTCGAGGAACCTAGAGGAGCAGCCGAGGGGGACGGAGGTCCTTTGAGAAGCAGCAGTGAGTCGGCAGCATCATCCTGCCCAGGGAAGCCACCAGGACTGGAGTGGGTTAGAGGACAGCATTTCCACCCCCATAACCTGCTCAGTGGGGCCTTCTCCCTGTTGAACCATGATACCCTGTGCATTTTGAGTTGTAGGTGTTGGTCTATGTCCACGTGTGTTTCATGTCTGAGTCATGTTTGCATGTCTCCCTTTGAGGTGGTGGGTGCCAAGGTTGTCACGAACGCCCGGAGTCCTGGAGCTCGCTGTTACGGCTTTGTTACGATGTCCACAGCAGAAGAGGCAACAAAATGCATTAACCACCTGCACAAGACGGAGCTCCATGGGAAGATGATCTCCGTGGAAAAAGTGAGTGACCATTTTCTTCCCAGGATGTGGCCAGTGTGAGGAAATAAGGTGATCCTTACACTTAATTCTCTTTTAGGCAAAAAATGAACCTGCCGGGAAGAAAACCTCTGAAAAAAGAGATAGTGAGGGCAAGAAGGAGAAGTCAAGCGACAGGTATTTCTTGCCTGATGAAATTAAACTGGTGGGGGACTGGCAAAGGTGGCCCTTCCCTTTACTCCATGTCCTTCAAGTTTCCTGTGTAAGAAGTTGGTCATCTGGGGGGCCCCTTGCTTCCTTTTCTTTTTTATTTTTTTGAGTTGCAGTCTCACTCTGTCACCCAGGCTGGAGTGTAGTGGCACGATCACGGTTCACTGCAGCCTCAGCTTCCTAGGCTCAGGCGATCCTCCTGCCTCAGCCTCCCAAGTGGCTGAGGCTACAGGTGCCACAGCATCTAGCTCTTTATTTATTTGTTTGCTTGTTTGTTTATTGTGGAGACAGTGTCTCACAATATTGCTCAGACTGGTCTTGAGCTTCTGGGCTCAAACAGTCCTCCTAGCTCTGCCTGTCCAAGTGCTGGGATTACAGGCATGAGCCACCCTGCCCAGCCTTTATTTTGGTTAATGTGGTCAGAAACTTCTCATGACAGTGGTGGGAGGTGATTTCCTTCCTCGTTATTTGGTGCTCGTTGCGAGCGTCCATTCAGCGTGATCTGTTTCCCAAGACACCAGCTCTGACAGCTCTGTGTCTGGGGCTGTGACTTACAGATCTGCGAACCTCAAGAGGGATGAGAAAGGCGACAGAACAGATGATGCTAAAAAGGGCGAAGACGGAAGTGGAGAAAAGACTAAGGACCAAGATGATCAGAAACCTGGCCCTTCAGAGCGGTCTCGAGCCACCAAGTCAGGTAGCCTGCTGGCCAGCGGGGGCCGGTTCATGGTGTGTTCTGTCCCTGGTGTGGCTTGTCAAGTTGCTGTGATTGGCTGGCTATGCAAACTAGATGCCTGTTGTACGGAGAGCTTTGCCCTTTCGGGTCCAGTGCTTCTCACCTGACTCACCCTTCTCCTGCAGGAAGCCGAGGAACCGAGCGCACTGTGGTCATGGACAAATACAAAGGGGTGCCTGTCATCAGCGTGAAAACGTCAGGATCCAAAGAGAGAGTGAGTGTGAACTTTCTGACTGCAGTGTCAGTTTTTTTTCAGTTTATGTTTCTGTGTGCATCTTCCGGAAATGCTTTCTATCTTTATGGAAAGGTAGAAGTGCCCGCGTTTTTTTAAAGGGAGAAACTTTTTATGGGGTGGGGTGCGGGAGGCAACATTCGAAACTTATTTTCCACCAGAGACCTGCATCAGCAGCAGTTACAGCTCCCGGGGCTTCTCCACAAATCAGTCATCCACTGGCATCATTAGCTCAACAGCGAGAAAGCCACTGGGGTGCTCTCCATACCAGTAGCACTCTCACAGTGTAAACTGGTACTATCATTGTATTCACTTGTAGTTCTAGAAAGAAAGGCATAACTTGGCAAAAATCAAGTTTTGGATCCTAAAGCCAGGTGCAGTAACAGGAACATAAAACTTTGGGTTCACATCCCAATCAAGGCCATGTTGAGTCGTTCTTTCTCCTCTCTTATTAAACCATGAGCTTCATTGTTTGCTCAATATTATGACATGTACAAAAAAGGAGGTTACCCACAAAAACATCCTGAAGGCCCAGCTGTTCCCACCCATACTTCAGCACTTAGGTTTGATAGCGTTTAGGAATACTTCAGCGGTCATAAAACAGGAAAAGCAAGACTACAGCCACAAAAGAATGAAAAATAAGTGAGATGATAAGTTAAGTCTTTCACTCCGAGGACTTGCAGGTTCTGACTTTTTAGTCTTCATGAAATACTCAGGAAAGAAAGAAAAGCATCATTGCTTAGGGTTAAGTCACACCAAAAAATCAGTATGTTGAACCTGTGATAAGAAGCGCACCCTTCTCCAGAATGAAAACCTATTCTTCAATAAAGTAGGCACTGGTGAACTCAAGTCCCCTGAGGTTCCCTGCTCAGGTGCCCACCCTTTCTGGCGTTCAGGAAGACGAAGGCGTCTTGGGAGTGTGGGGAAGTCGTTGGCAATTTCAGGGCTCTGACCAGTGTATTTAAGTAAGCAGCAGCCAGGTGCCATAGCTCGCGCCTGTGATCCCAGCACTTTGGGAAATGGAGACGAGAGGATTGCCTGAGCCTAGGGGCTTGAGACCAGACTGGGTAATTTGGCACGACCTCATCTCTACAATAAATTTAAAAATTTGCCAGGTATGGCGGTGGATGCCTGTGGTTCCAGCTACTTGAGAGGCTGAGGCGAAAGGTTCACGTGAGCCCAGCAGGTTGAGGCTGCAGTGGCCGTGCAGTGCTGCTGCATTCCAACCTGGAGATAAATAAATAAATAGCAGCAGTACACACATTTCCTCTAAAGGGAGAACATTTTGCAGCTTTTCTTTGTACGTAATTTTGCTCTGATGATAGTTGTTCTTATTTTCCAAAGCTCACTTTAAAATTCCATTATGGGAGCAGTTGACTTTTCCCTTACTCAGCATGTAGCTAGCTGTTGTCATTGCCTGTCCCGAGCGTTTCAGCAGCCCCTCATTGTACATTCCCCAACTCAGCCCTCTAGGAGCCGCATGGAGACTCCACCAGCCTCTCTAGCCTGCCTCTCAGCCGGGCCTCTACCTTGGCCTCTTCCTGTACCCTCATATGCTTGTAGACTGCTCCTCAGAACGCTGGAGCACAGTGCCTGTTGTTGTACTTACTACCTCAGTCTGCCTGCCACGAAGGTCACGGTCAGCTGCCAGTGCTCTTAAGTTCAACTTCTTACAGCCTCACAACCTTAGTAGATATGGACCAGGGTCCCCAAGGTCACCCCCACATGGAGCAGTTCACTAGGAGGACTGCTTAACTTAGCATGTACTCATGGCTCAGTACTCAATACTTAGTGGTGCTCAGAGCTAAGAATGACTCCAGTGGTCCAGTAAGGATACCCAGCCAGATCTCAAGGGAAGAGACACCAGCAGTGTGTGGAGGTGCCCAAGCAGGCTTTATGTTCTCAAGATGGGTAGGGTACAGTGTCTCTGTCCACAGGATCTCTCTGGAGCATTGGTGCCCAAGATTTCCACTAGGGCTGATAACAGTCACTCTCTGCCAGCAATGCCACAATTTCCAACTCCCAGTAGGAGGCATACGTTATTATTTATATTGTCTAGGCACAGTGAGCCACCTTACTAGTTAACTGTTGGCTGGGGACACTGAGAGCCAAGTTCCCCATTGCCAGCCTCAGGCCTGCCATGTCCATCCCAAGCCACACAAGACAAACCATTTGAGCTGGTAAAGTGGGGCATTTACAAGTCAGCCTTTCAACTATGGAAACTTTCAGTCCATGTTTGTTTGTGCCAGTGTTTTAATATGCTGTCATGTTTTACCCTTCTTTGTAAAAACATGTTGAAGATAGAAAAATGAAAGTGTGGATTCCAGGGCTAAAATGGCCAGCTCTCATAAAGGTGCAGCCAGATCAGAAAAACCCATTGCCTTACTAGACTTCGATGTGGCCATGTTGCTCCGTGAGCTATGGCTGTTGTCATGTTTCCTGGCTTTGGCCCTCCTCCCCTACCTTGGGGAGGTGAATCTCTTCTTTCTCTCTAATTTACTTTCTGAATTTAAAAAAAAAAGAAAAAAGATGCAGTCAGTACATACAAAGAAGTCGCTACAAAACTGTCTCATTTGGGAATTTCTTGCATGTTTAATTATGAGAGAAAACAACAAAACTAAGGAATTTATTTTACGTGCAAAAAACAGGTATAAAAAAGTTTCTGGCCGGGCTCGGTGGCTCAGCCTGTAATCCCGCACTTTGGGAGGCCGAGGTGAGTGGTTTGCCTGAGTCCACGGGTTCAAGACCCACCTGGGCAACTTGGTGAGACCTCATCTCTACAATAAATCCCAAAAAAATTCAGCCGGGCATGGTAGCGTGCGCCTGTAATTCCAGCTGCTTGGAAGGCTGAGGCGGAAGGATCACTTAAGCCCAGCAGGTCGAGGCTGCAGTAGCTGGGAGCAGCCACTGCACTCCAGTCTGGGTGACAGAGTGAGACTTCAACTCAAAAAAAAAAAAAAAAGTTTCTTTGAGTTGACAATACTCATTTCCATTTTGATTCTATTGAATGTACTTTATGGATCATATTTGAACATAAAATGTTGAAATTCTGTATCTTAATTGACAAGTGAGACATAGGTTTCTTTAGAGAGAATACCTCATTGTCTGGTTGTTTTATTAAGAGCTCACCATCACGTGGAATCTCCACACACAATGCTTAGATATGGACATACCTGATTCTTCCTGTTCCCTTAATCATTTCTGCCTTAACTTTTTTTTTTTTTGAGTTGGATTCTCACTTACTCTGTTGCCCAAGCTAGAGTGCAATGACACACTTACGGCAACTACAGCCTCAACCTGCTGAGCTCAGGTGATCCTTCCGCCTCAGCCTTCCAAGTAGCTGGAAGTATAGCCATGCACCACCATGCCCAGCTAATTTTTTGATTTATTATAGAGAAGAGGGCTCACCAAGTTGCTCAGGCGGGTCTCGAACCTGTGGGCTCAGGCAGTCATCTCACTTCAGCCTCCCAAAGCGCTAGGCTTACAGGCTTGAGCCACTGCGCCCGGCCTGCCTTAACTTTTTAATATTCTTTGAACTAGGTTTCCAAAAGCCAGGATCGCAAATCAGCCAGCAGAGAGAAGCGGTCCATTGTGTCCTTTGATAAAGTCAAAGAACCTCGGAAGTCGAGAGATTCAGAGTCCCGTAGGTGAGTTGGGATCCAGGAGTGGTTTGGTATGTTTCCCAGACGGTGGTGTGACCATGTCCTGGGAAGGCATTCCTGTGGGTGGAATGCTGCTTTCCACCTTTCTGCTCCTTTGGCCTTCATTTCTTAAACTTGCTGTGTTTTGACTTACATCCTGTGGCTCTTTTGAAGTGATTTTATGCAAATAGGCTCATCACTTCCCCAAAGGTCATAGAAGGCCACAAAGGCAGGGAGGTGGAAGCCTTCCTGTGTCAGTAGTGCTAGGCCACAAAAGGTACCATGTGTGCTCCAGAAAAGGGAAAGAAACCGCCAGATGGACCCAGAGAGCACTGGGAGACCCTCACTCTTAAATAAGCCAAGAATGATGTCCTCATTTCTACAAACTCTACACAGACGTTACTGCTCATGGGGAGTTATTTTAGCTTTCCTGTGAAGAAACAATTGTAAAAGGGGAGCGCAGCAGGTAAAGGCACATGCAGCTTTGGTGGAGTGACTGGCAAAGTGATCGGGGACAAACCCATGTAGAATAGGAGTTGGACAGGACACAAGTGACATTTCCCACTAGAGAAGCCAGGCCGGCCTTCTCCACGTGGGGCTCGGTCACCTGGCTGTGTGGCTAGGCCTTGGCTCATCTTCGTGATCCCTGCCACACTACTGTCATTGACAAAATGGTGTGACCTGATGACTCACGTTGGACATCTCCTGTGCAAGTCAGTCAGTATACGTAAGAAATGTATGAATTTGGGGTTTGGAAGGCCTTTGAAGCCATAAAGGAGAACATGACTAAATCAGAGAACCTCTAAATCATGAAAACCACAGAGAAAGCCAAAAGACATGCAACAGATGTGGACAAAAGGGACTTAAAGTAAACATAAGTCGAATAAGAAAGTCCCGGTATAACAGTGGACAGAAGCTGTGAAGACAGTTCACGGGAGGGAGTGTGTGAATGGCCATGAAACAGATGACAAGCTGTTCAGCTTCACTGGGGAGCAGGGAAATGCAAATTAAAAAGCAGGTAGGCTGGGCGTGGTGGCTCACGCCTTTAATCCTAGCACTTTGAGAGACTGAGGTGAGAGGATTGCCTGAGCCCACATGTCTGAGATCAGCTTGGGCAACTTGGTGAGACCTCATCTCTACAATAAATCAAAAAATTATTTTGACTCAGGAGTGGTGGCACATGCCTGTAGTTCCAGCTACTTGGAAGGCTGAGGTAGAAGAATCGTCTGAACCTAGCTGGTCAGGCCTGCGGTGGTCCTGAGCGTGCCACTGTACCCCAGCCTAGGTGACAGAGTGAGACTCCAACTCAAAAAAAAAAAAAAAAACCAGGTAGACAGCTCTTCATCTGTCAGTGTAATTTCGTTCAACATATGAATGAAGGTGTAGGGAGGCAGGTATTTCTGTTGGGGAAAGTGTAAATGAACACTGGCTACCTGGAGGGACGTCCACAGCAGCAGGAACTTCTGAATGCTAGAATCTTCTAGACCCAGTGATTCCCTTCTCCATATCTTCCCTAGAGGAATCTGTGCACGGGAAAGTGTGGGTGAGCTTGTACCCTCGTGAGGCTGTAGCATTTGGAAACCACTGAAAGGTGCCAAATGCTAATGACGGTCAATGCGGCCCTTCACGCTGAGCACCTCCTGCAAGGGCCTGGCATCCAGGGAGGGTAGGAACGGGGGTGTGCCACATAGTGAGTGAGCCACGGAAGTTGCAGCCACTATTGTCCGGAATATAACTAGCTATACTATATAACTGTGCCACATTCTGCTGGCAGTTGAGATCATCTTGAGGTTACTTAGAACACTAAGACAGTGTAAGTGCTATTGTCAGCAGTTATTAGACTGGATTAGGTTTTTTCCTTTTTTTAGTAGCTTGAGAAACCACTTAAATACTGTACTGTTTTACTGGTGTTTTCACCACCTCCGCCTTATTAATTTGTTTGTTTTTTAATCAAAGTCTCACTTTGTCACCAGGCAGTGGGATGGGATGCTCACGACCACAGCAGCCTCGACCTGCTGGGCTCAGCCTTCCAGGTAGCTGGAACTTCAGGCACGCACCACCACACCTGGCTAGTTGTTTTTTGGTTTATTGTAGAACCAAGATCTTGCCAGGTTGCTCAGGCTGGTCTCGAACCCCTAGACTCAGGCAGTTCTCTGCTTCCCAAAATGCTGGGATTATAGGTGTGAGCCACTAGGCCCAGCCCTTTTTTTTTTTTTTTTTTTAAACGTGTGGAGTACATTTCAGAATTAGGTACACAAATGGTCATTATGCAGGTACCCTTGTCGATGAGGTGTGCTTCCCAACAGCCCCCACACACACGCCTCTTTAAAGAGGCAGGGTCTCAGGCCGGGCACAGAGACTCAGGCTTGTAATCCCTCCCTGTATGGGAGGCCAAGGCAAGAGGATTGCCTGAATCTAGGGGTTTGTGACCGCCTGAGCGACTTGGTGAGACCTCGTCTCTACAATAAATAAAAGAATTCTGGGCCTGATGGCGCCTGCCTATGGTTCCAGCTCCTTGGAAGGCTGAAGCGGAAGGATGGCCTGAGCCCAGCAGGTCGAGGCTGCGGCGGCTGTGAGCATGCCACTGCACTCCAGCCTGGGCAACAGAGTGAGACTCCAGCTCTGGGGGTGGGGGGAGAGGGGGGCCTGTCTTGCTCTGTCACCCAAGCTGGAGTGTAGTGTCCCGATCATTGTACACTGTGGCCTCAAACTCCTGGGCTCAAGCACTCCTTCGCCTCAGTCTCCCAACGTTGCTGGGACTACAGGCAGACACCACCGTGCCAGGCTAATTTTCTTCGTTTTTTTGTAGATACAGGGTCTCACTATATTAACCCAGGCTGTGTATCTGTAAACATACAGGCAGGCGGTCAATAGAAGACAAGCTGGCGCCTGTCTTCTCTGTCGTTTACACAAAGACTGGCAGGAAATGCACGGCCATGATCCTTGTCACGGTCGGAACGCAGCTGGTGGAATCCTCGCCTCGGGTGGGCGAGTCCCTCGGCTGGGCTGTGCGCGCATTGTACTCCAGCCTGATTCCGTGAGGACTCGGTTTCAGACTCCTGTGGAGAGGATACCCTGTGTTCTCCTTTTCACTGGCCGTGTCAGGAGCTGCGCTGTCGGCCCCAGAGAAGGCTGGAGAGTGAGAGCTGAGCGCCCGCGCGGCCCGGCCCCCTTCCTGGCTGGGCGAGGGGGCCAAGCCGGGCTCGTCCGGCTCGCGGGCGGCGGCGCGGGCCGGGCGGGGCCCTGCGGGGTGGCCGGCCGCCTCAGTCCTCGTCCTGCCGCAGGGTGCACGAGCGCAGCGAGCGGGAGCAGCGCATGCACGCGCAGTGGGAGCGCGAGGAGCACGAGCGGCTGGAGTTCGCCCGCGAGCGGCTGGCCTTCCAGCGCCAGCGG